GGACCGCTCTCACTTTCTGCTCTGCTCGTATCTTCCTGGTAAACACAGATTTATTAACCTTTAGCACCACGTCAATCTTCAAGGAAAAACAAAGAATATTATTTTATATTATAGCTGTATTGTTCATATTTTACATTATTTGTCGTTCTTTGACAGATTTATTATTATTTATGGCATCTTATGCTCGCAGCACCTGTTGAGGGCCCGCTCTCCTACGGGGCCCAATGCCCGGCCTGTCCCGACACCGGTGCAGCAACAGAGACGCTCTCTGTCTCAGAGGCTGCAGGCGAACTGGAACGCTTAAATCGTCATTTTTATCTCTGTGAGGGGACAACAGCGATTGAGAAGAATCTGAATATCAGTTAAACTACAGTTTTCTCAAAAAGTCCTGACTCACAGAGGATTGTGTCCCAGAGTTCCCGGCTTTTCGGCTGTTCACCGCTGTTCAGGCTTGTTTACCGCATTTACGAGTTATATTAGTAAGTCTATTAAAAAACTCTCTAAAGGTCGTTTGTTGTTTTTTTGTGATTTTTAAATTAATAATAATAATATAACTTTTTTGGTCTGCTAACAACATTGTCTAACAAAGTTCTCTTACTAAGAAGACCTTAGCTGTTTGTGAAGGTATTCTGTATGCTACCTGTTTGTAGCTTGAACTAGCAACTGTTGTTTTGCATTGACAGTTGGACGAGTTTCGGGTCTGAAAAGTGAGCATGAGGAAGTTTCTTAAACCTGCATCTCTGTGACGGCAACAGGGGGCACTCACTGGCTGCATATAAACTGATCTCATTCCGTCTAATGGTAGAATGAGCTCAGTAAACAGTTTTCCTGAGGTTTCTGGTGTACAGCTCTCTAGTTTCAGTCTTCTTCCATACGCATGATGTTCATGCTTAAGTACTGTGGTCCATTTAGAGTCAAAAAGTGGCCAGACATAATATGCTTTAGGGCGGGCTTACTTGTGATTGACAGATCATTTGCAGTGAGTCCGTCTAGACTGCAACGCCCAAACTCAGATAACTGTGCAAAGCGTGCTGATAGATACTTGGGATCAGATTCTGTTGTTCACTATTTTTCCTCAAATTCTGTTCACAACACATTTTACTGTTTATCTGGAACACCAGATCTGAGTGAGGCGGAGAAGCAGCATGAGAGCAGCATCACTCGCTTTACGGTGACCTCCACTGGTCTGACTGACTGGAGGCTTTTGGACGGGAAACTTCACAAAGTGATGGGTGACGTCGTGAATAGGTTCAACCTTGTTTTTTGTAGTATAAGCTTACGCTACGGTTCAGGCTGCAATTTAAACATTTTTTCAGCACTACATTTGGTGTCTACATGTGAATATTACAGCAGCATCGCGTGTTTTATTCCCAGTTCAGATCCAGAATTAGTTTTACAGCTCAGTTTATGGAGGAGTCTTCTTTTAAAAAAACACACCTGCGTTTTTTTTAATCCAAACGTTTTGAAGCAGCTTTTTACCTCGGAGACTGGGGAGACGTCGCATGGGGAGAGACAGAGATATCTGCAGAGAACAGTCAGACACGAGCCCAACCCTTGTAATCCGGATTAACGTTTGTGGGAATGTTATATATAAATGTATAAATATTAAATATATAGATATAGAAATGGTATAATGTATAATTGTGTAATGTCCTCTCCTGCGCGGCCTGGTCGAGGGGAGAGGTCAGGTGGTGGTTTTGGTAGGCTCTCAGTTGTCTCTCACCTGTGATGGCTTTATCTTGGGGATAGCGGCGGTCTCTGTTAACCCACCACCTGGTCGTTACGTCTGGCTGAAACAACACACACCAACACAGACACAGACACACACACGGTACCAGGTGAGTGTGTGTGGTGTGTGTGCGTACACCTCATAATGCGCGGATATGATCAAAAAGGCTGATTACCAGTGATGCCGGTGGCGGGAGAGACCTGGAGTGCTCGGCCGCTGGAGAAGGCAGGTTGATTGGTTCTTACCGTCCTCACCTGTGCCATAACGAGACGTTAGTTGTGTGTTCTGTGTGGTGTGTGTCTCTGTGTTGTGGTGTCTGTGTACGTGGCGATGTTAAATGTGGTGTGTGTGTGTGGTGTGTTTCAGATACGATGGTTGTGACAGGCTGCTGCTCCAGTCTGGACCCACACTAGTGACGTACCTAGTTCATAGCAGCTGTCGCGCTCACGAGAAGCGTCCATTCGATGGCGACAGACAACCGCTTGCCTTCCCACATATCAGCAGCACCGGAGATGATCCAGCAGGTCAGAGATCAGTTGTCCTACAGAGAAAAGTGATAAATGCTTAGGAGTGAGTGATTTAATGAGGGCAGGATCAGAGCGGGACGGACAGGTTGATTCAGGGACGGACAGGTTGATTCAGGGACGGACAGGTTGCATTCATTGGAGACAAGGTTGCATTCAGGGACGGACAGTCTGCATTCAGGGACACCCAGTGGAAAGCTGTTATCTAGGTGGCTGTCTGATTACGCATGCTGTCCACGGTGCTCAACAATCATCTTTGAGGACTGTAGAACCACGTGGTCGGATTGCTGACCTTTTAGGCTCATTCTGCTCAACTGAGAGGTAAACACGGGACACATGGATCGTTGTGTTGTGTGTGTGATGTGTGTGTGTGTGTGTGTGTGTGTACTTAACACGTGGTGTCCCTGCAGTATTTCGCTGACCTGAGGACAGATGTCAACAAGCAGCCTCCAGAGAAGCGCAAGCATGACTATGTTTCGGAGAACTTGATGGAGGGATAGAGAGAAATCTACTAACAAAGAAATCGGGACAGGTACGTCTGTCGGTCGGGTTCAGTCCTCCTTGTTTTTCTGTCGGATGTTCATTAATTCATTAGTCTGCTACGTCCCCCCCCTTGGAGGACATATCGTGTTACATTCAGGGAGTTTGTGGATGTACCATTACTCAGATAATCAAAGTCAAATCAGGGAAGATCCCTTGTGTTTCTGTCTCACCTGTCTCCCCTCTGTCTTCCCCTTCGTCTTCCCCGGTCTGTCTGTCAGGTTCCTCAGAACTGTCTGTGTCAGGAAGGGGAAGTCAACGGAAGCATGAAGAACTCGAAGTACGGCGTCAACAGCAACGAACTTGATGAGCTGACTTCCACACAGGAGTCTTATCCGCTGCAGACAGAGTCACCCCCCTCCTCGCTCTCCAAGGCCTCCTCCCTCCTCCTCCCACCTCCCCCCTCTTGCATAGCCTCCCCCTCCTCCCTGGCCCGGATGCCTGGGGATCACCTCTCCCCCTCTCCCCTCCACCGAACACGAGTACCGGGATCGTTCCCTCCCTCCTTTTTGATATAAACATATTATAAATATATACAGATCTATTTTAAGAGCGATAGGTCTGGCCTGTCCTATCAGTTGGAGGGTCAGGAGGTCAAGGGCACAGAGGTGGGAGGGAGGGGTCCATGTCTGAAGACAACTCGAATCACTGGCGGAGGAAGAGGAGAGTGCCGTGGAGGTGACGGGAGGCGGGAAGGGGACGAACGCTAAGTAGTAATCCGCTTCTGCCTGCCTTGTATAGAAAACACACAAAAAACCAATTTACTTTTTTTTCGTAACATTTTGGAACAATGATTTAATGATCGAATTTAAACACAACAGATGCAGGTTGAGGAAAAACAAAAAACACGGAAAAAACGGCCCGGAGCGCGCCGGGGTGGGCTGCGTGATTGAGCTTTTTACCAGTGGTCAGGGTTTGCAACTGTCTGTCTGCGTTGGACGGAGCTTTCCAGGCTGAGCTGGATGCGGTGAGCCGCGCCGGCGGCGAGGGACGGGGCCCGCCCGACACCGCCCGGGGGGCCAGTCGAACTGAGTGCACGGGTGCAGCCAGGAGCACTTATGGCGTGCAGAACAGGAAAGCAGAACGTACACACACCTAACGAGAAAGGGTGGAGAGGTCAGAGCATCCACGTTGTAACAGATTCGTTACTCAGGGTCTACTGGTTGATCAGTGATGTAAATATTGACGTCCCTCGCCCGGTGGGTGGTGGTCGCAGGTGCGGCGGCGGGCTTTAAAGGCGACATTTCTGCATGTTTTCCGAACCCCGAGTGTTATTTCTGTTTGTGTCAAGTGACTTCCTTTGATCAGAAAATTTCAAACAGAGTTCTCAAAGATAACCCTTCAGCTGAAATAAGTCAAAACCCCTCAGAAGCCCCGCCCCTTTTCTCTCTCGCCGTGCGTCATCACGGTGTCTCTTACGATATCTATATTGAAGCAAGCCACATTTGTGTTTGAGATGGTTCAAAGACAAGAGAGACGCAATTTTGGCCGGTAGGTATAGTCAGCGTCTTAAGAGTTAGCAAAAGGGAAGCTAATTAGGGCGCTAACGAGTGATGAAGATTTAGTTTCCAAATGTTTTGCTGACATTAAGATGTGACTATAAATGTCTCTTTTGTCTTTGAACCATCTTCACAATGGGTCTTTTCAACATAGATTAGCTTAGCTTAGCATATCTAAGTACAGGAGGAAGGATTGTTCAACTATGATTGGAAGAGCAAAAAGGGGGCGGGGCTTAGAAAGGGTCAATTACAAGAGTTTTGATTCTTAAGATTTAAGATAAAATGTTTATGAGAAAGAACAAATCTGCAACCAGAGAATTTTTTACATTTTAGCAAAAAAAATCCCTAAAAGATTTTTGCGATTGTTAAAAAAGTTTCTGAATTATTTTCTGTCCGACCAACAATCAAGATTTAAAGTTTATCATCAAATGAAAATCAGAACATGTTTACATTTTAGCAAAAAGAAATTGCTAAATTGAACGTTAATTATTTTCTGTCCATTTAATCAACAATAAAGTCAAAGATTTAAAGTTTATAATCATTATTATTATATAAGAAAGAAAATCTGAAAATATTTCAGAAGTTGGAACCAGAAGTTTTTTATATTTGTGTGTCGGGTTTCTGGTCCGACCGGAGTCAGAACAAACACTGAGGTTGAAACACATCAGAACTTCTTTCCCGTCGTCCCGTCGGCTCTGCGAGGCGGCGGCGGCGGCGTCCTGTCGGCCTCACACGCCCGCTTGTTTCCCTGGCGACGATCGACGTGTAAACAACATGGTCACAGCTACATGTTCCCCTCTGGTAGGCCGGGTGCAGTTTCCACCATTTTGTTTACACTCTGGATTCCTCGGACCGGGTTTTCAGGAGGTCCTTTTGGTGTGTGTGCGTGTTGTCTGTGTGCGTGTGCGTGTGCGTGTGTGTGTGTGTGTGTGGAGTGGCGTCTCATGGTGCTGCGACGGAGCCGAACCAGCCGAGGTCCGTGCCACCGTACAGGGGGAGGGTCTGGTCGGAGCTCCCTGAAGGAACCAGGTCTAGTTTAGTCTGAAGGAGTCAAACAGTGTACAAAGCGGAGCCGCTGGAGTCCATTAGCAACTTGTGTTACTCTCTACGATGTTGCTGCTAACTGTTTGTGACAACTAGCTCATTTCTAACCATGTCAGCACTCATGGATGTTTATTGAGTTTCTAAGTTTTGGTTTGTGTCCTGATGTGAATGTGTTGGGTCCATAGAGTGAGTAGCTGTTTGAGTTGTTTGGATGTCTGCTACATATAGTGTAAGCATTGTGACTGCAAATAAACCTCATTGATTTTTACGCTGCTGCTCTTCTTCTGTTCGTTCATCAGGGAATCAAATCGTTGATCTTCAGGACTTAAAATGTCTGAAATGTGATTCTTATTAAAGCCGGAGTGAAACATAGAAATGTACGGAAGCTCACTGCTGCCATTACGAGAAAAACAGGCCAGTATCAGGTTATAACGAGATATTTTCAGATTATTACGACTACAGATGAACGAATACTGAATAATACAGTTCTAATGACCTAAAAACCTGTTTTATTTTCATCACAGTTCCTCACTAATTAAATGTTGATGGAAAAGTTGATTAAAATCTGCTCGACTACCGAGGTTACATAACGTCACGCTGCTGTAAAGTGCTATCACAGATCTGATGCATCTTATTTCTTTGGCCCTAATTAGCTTCTTGTATTTGTTCTCATTCATCACTAAAAGTGTTCATGCAGCAAAAACTGAAACCTAGAAACACCTGAAACAAAAGGTTGCACATTCCTCCCACTGCTCAGGCAAGTAAAGTGACATTCATTGACCTCAAGGTGGCGCTATAATAAAGTTTATGTTTTTGGGATTGTTGCAGCATCACATTCATCTGTTTGTCTTTACAAACGTTTTTTAAAACCACAACAATCCTGCACACTGGTCCTTTAAAAGTACAGTACAACCTTTCTGGGTCTGTAACATCCAAACAGAAAATATGGAGTTAGTTGATGAGATGGTGAAGCAGTGTGG